TAACAGTTTTGTATCTTATTGCGGAGCTTAGTTATGGCAAGTTATTTGCTTTTGATTAATGGCGTTTTGTGGGCGTGGCAGTGGTCCGATTACGCCCATCTGCAATATCAACTGTCTCACGGTACCAAGAAACATGTCTACCAAGTTTCATAAAGATATCTCAATAGTTTTAATGTGCATATCTCCTAAACCGCTAATGCAATAATAACAAAATTCGCTGGAAGGAAATGTTTTTAGAACCACTACCTACAGTGTGAAAATGGGTGAAATCGGGTGGCAACTACGCCCACTCCCAATATAACGGTACTGTTAAAAACTACTAAAAGCGTGATAAATCAAGCACTTAATAAGCCAGAGACATTGAATTTTATCTCTGGGATGGTATGAGATGACTTTATAGGAACCGTGTTCAATTAGACAGTGGACGTGGCATAGCCCACTTTTAGGTGAAACCCCATATCTTGAGATCTGCTTAAGCGATTTCAACCAAATTCGCGCCTACTTCCCATATAACACCATTTTAAATTCCATCTGATTCTTTCACTTTCCACTATGCAAATCAGGCAGCAATGACTGTATCGGGATAAAACTTTGCGTGAATAATGCGATTAAAGTATGCCATCTTGTGGCCAAAAATTGTCTAAATTGAACCAAAACTGTTCAAGCCCCTAAGTACTAAATATGTGGACCCCAGTGCCTATAGTTGACCTTCTACCGAAAATATCAGCCAATCCACAAAGAAATCTCAAACGAGTATACCATTTGACTTTGCGAGAGTATAAAATGTTCGGTTACATCCGAACTTAGCACTTCCTTATTTGTTTGGACATATTAATTTGACACGAAGTTTTTGAGATATCGAACGGAAATTTTCAATATATTTCTCTCTCCCCAAGAATCTGTTCATGTTCATATACATACTTAACATATAGTTGCCATGCATACCGATCGATCAAGACCAAGTTGTCGTATAGAAAACTATTTTATTTGACAATATATCTTTAAAAAATTTGGCATAAATTAGTGTCCAAGGCAACGCTACAACGGCAGATCGGATAACTATAGCTGCCACACAAACTGATCGATCCATATCCAGTTCTTCTATGGAAACTTTTTTATTTGTGAAGGGTAATAACATTTTTTGTTGTTTGAACTGCGTTAGATAGAAAATATCTTTCCTTTTGACATCATTAATGAAGACACACAAGTACAAGTACTAAGAAAATTTAGCAGCTCGTTTCGTTTAAGACACAACGTAACGAGGTCTGGTTCTTTTGTTTCTTCATAAAATAAAATAATGAGAATGAATTATTTTGAGAGATATTCTCAAATTTGCAACATATGGCTCGAGGGAGTGGTAAAATTTCATAAAATTTGTGTTTTATTTCCATTATTTCAAAATACACGTACCTAAGTGGTTCTATAGAGATATTTTATTTATCTTATCAAGATATGCATTGTAAAATTAACCGAATTCTTATTCTTAATTCTCGTTCTTATGACTATTATTTCTTCCTATCGGCTGCAAAATGTATATTTAGCAGGCTCTTAAGTTATCCTTTTAGATAATTCAAAATGCCGTCACATGGTATGCTTGATCGCTGTTGTTGGTCCTTGCGATCTAATCGAGTTCGAAGTCACGTACGTGGTATTATACTATTTTTCCCCTATACTCCTAAAATATTCCCCGAAATTCAGGAATAAAGAGTGAGAGATCACTGATCGGCATAATCGACAATACTTTACACATTTGTGAGGAAACCGATTTGGAACCCTCTGATTTTTGAGTTTTGAAAGTTAATATTATTCTGGAAAGCGACTTCTATCCTGATACGCTTTTAAAGTCAATTTAAAAAGTTTGAGATATTTATTTGTAACCATTTTATGACAGTATTATTATTTAGCTAAAATATATAGAATAGTTTTTTTTTTGTTTGACGTTGAAACATTTCACTGCCATCGATAAAATTTTGTCAAAACATTGTTTGTATTTGAAAGGAGGTTATTATATGGGATATGCAATAAAATCGCATTAGGTGACACAGAGTCGTATTATTTTGAAACTAGAAAAAACGCTATCTTCGGTTGCACCGAAGCTATAACACCCATCACATACACAAAAGATTCCAAAAAAGATTTGATTGGTCATTTTGGTCTGATCTGAACAATTTCTTTAGAGATTGTACCGTTGCTGTAAACAATAATGCGTTTTCCATCCCAGAACTTGATCGTTCAGTTTGCATGCAGTGGTCCGATATCGGTACCGACAAATGAGCAGCCTCTTGGGAGAAAAGGAGAGGTGTGATATGTTAATTAAAGTATCGTTGTAAAGAGATACAATCCGCCGTTAAGCTTTGAAGATTTTATCATCGCGAATAAGTATTCAAGTTCGTATGTCTAATGTACTTGTACATACAATGATATATACATTTTTTGGATCCTATATGTAAGTAATATATGTGTTAACTTTGAGCTTTCGATGGGCATAAAATTGCATGCCTGTTTGTATATGCATGTACTGTATATATACATATATTATTCCACGAAAATATGGTTATAAATTAATTCATTACACTTATCAAGTAAAAACTTTGCAAGCATTTTAATTCGTACCAGCAATATACAAATATTTTAATGCATATATACATGCAAACATTAATATTTTTTTGTTCATGTATGTAATGACTATGTGTATATATTATAAAATTTTTGCGATAAGATCCTAAGTAATACGATTAGTTATATAAATAAATATGAAACAAAAGTGAGAGTATTTTGCTGCACAATGTATAGGTTTCCTAATACCGTTCGACCATATATTTGTACGCATACATATAAGCGCAATTCATCACAATATACAATTTTTAATAAATTTTTCGTTTTTGTTTGTTCGAAATTGCAGAAATTCATATAAGGCAACTATATTAAAATTGTGGTACGCTATTAGATCCGACATATAAGCCGCTTCTTGAGGAGAATTTCAGATCGATTTCTCAAAAACTGTGGGACTAATCACGCTGATCATATATGTATATGTTATATACTTTATAGGGTCTCCGACCTTTCCTTTTGGGTGTTACAAACTTCGTGGCAAACTTAATATACCTTGCTCAGGCTGTTTAAGGCTATTTTTCAAGATAGGCGAAGTTGATAATAAATTGAATTTATTAACTCACTGAATTTTAATAACAAAGTTACATGAAATACTAACCACAAACAGTTAGTTTGACTTTTGAGGTGTTACCAGTGTTGGTTAATATATTCAGGAAAATAGCAGTTGATAAGTTTTCATAAACCAAAATGAAATAGAAACGTAATAAATAACGAAAGTTATTGAGAATTATTATTATTTTCCATTAATAAAACTCGCCAAAAAATCTTTTCAAAAATGTCTTGATGAGTATCGATAGTACCGGGTACCTATAGTCTAGTATAAAATCTAATAAATGATATTGTAAGATCGCAACTATGCATCCACATTTCTATTTGACAGAAATTTTTAGAAAAAAAACCGACAGTGGTTGAGTTACATATGTATTCTTAACTATAGTGAAAGCAGTCAACTTTGAAAGGTTAGTTCTCAAATTATTATTACGATGATTTTTTTTTATTTTTAAGAGAAGTTAAAGAGTTTCAAAAAAAAATTGTTGCTTAGCTCCATATAGTCGGTCTCTTATCGCATTATGCTCTGGTTATCGTATACTATATTTCGCATGTCGTTCGTCGCTCACCTCTTGTTTCCGAACATTGAATACTATGAAAGATTCAGTTCTATGCCTTAACTCAGGGAACGGAATCAATTTCGTAACAATTTCTTACGTTTGTTATTGTCCTGCGATGCCGAAAATGAATCGAACCATGCGAAATACAATTCTCAATGCATGAACTGGTAATATACTCAGTTATATCGTTAAACTTTTATTGAATCCCAAACCGATTGTGAATCACTATTAGTATGACACAAATGTAATAATGCCTTAATAACTGGTAACCAAGAAATATTTAAAACAATGGTTGAAATTAGGTCCTGCGATCTTCTTGTGGTGTCGAGATGAGTAATGGTGCCTACAACTCAAACGAAAATCATAGTTGGAACAAATATTTCTTTTTGAGCACTACATTTAAGTTAAAAGCTACTTTGGTAGTATTTTTTTAATATTCTAACATTGAGTTAAAATTATAATATAATTATACTGCGCTACAAATTATTGAAGAACTTCCATAGTGAGTGACGGATTATAATCGGCATACTTTTCGAGTTTCATTGCTATACCGAACTCAACACCAAAGTAATCTGAAAGTTAACAGACCCGCCTCTGAATTCGAATTGATTCCAGAGAAATATAATATTATCTCAAAGTAGAAGATTTCATCAGCTATCCAACCATTACCGAATAAACTCAGTGAATTATTTTTCCTGTTATTTCCACTCTCTTGAATATATTAGATCTGTTTGTGTTTATTTTAAATACAACTTTTAATTTATTTGCAAAGGCGTAGTCGGTGATTGTGTTTCAAATTTCTTTGTACCTTTATTACTTTATAGGTTATTCGTTTTAAATTTTTATGTCATTTATGTTAATATTTGGAATCATTGTTAATCATTTGTTATTTCAATGTGGGACATTTCGAATTTTTTATAAAATTTTTATAGCTATTTTTTAATTTAAAACTGGTTTAGGTATTTTCCTTGAAAAGAAAATCATTTCCTCGAACAAAAAATTACTTCAAACACTTTAATTATTAATATGTAGGTTGTACATACATACATATGTATATTATACGATTTATTGCGAGTATTCACTTAAAATTCATTTTCAATCAATTCTTGTATGGCAAAGAATGAGAAGTTAATAACAATGAGAACTATCAGAAAATTCTCAAGCGATCGCGATTGTGATCAATTCAGCGTCGGATTTGACGAATTCGCATAGAACTCAAAACACTTTTTTTATATTCATAATTTGTTAGTAATTATTCCCCAACAACTTAGTAATTACCAAAAAGTCAATTAGGGTGTGTATATTTAGAGCAACCGTTGGTTCCAGTAATTCAAACACGCATGAATAGGCTTGGACCTATGTGTGCAATTTTCTTCTAGTAATGTAGTTTTTTGCGTGTACAAATTAAACTTAGTACGCTAAAACGTGCGATGATGCGTTGCGAGTTGAGCTATTACTCAATCGAATTAGAATTACACCGCGCACCGTTTAAAAAAGAACTGAACGCCACGCAACGCTGAGCGGCAGCGCAGACAACTAAAAATTCTTCATTATGAGCAAGAAACGTCGCTGCCAAACTACAACTACAATAATGACGAAAACAACAGCATTCGCCAATATGCGAATTATTAAATAAACACATATAGAAGCGCGGCAGTGGCGACCACCAACAACACTCTACATATAGCACGAGCAACAACAAAACGGCGTAAAGTGCGCAAAAAAGTACGCGATGCGAGCGGCAACAGCAGAAAATTTTCAAATATAGTTAAAAAAAAGCCAAATACCATTAGAGCGCTGCAAGGCGCGCAGTAAACACCGAGGGAGAGGTAAGCTTTAGAGAGGGGAGAGCGCCGTATTTGCGGTGCACACAGTCGCAGAAAACAGTAGGTCCGCGCGCATATGTGTATCAAAACCGAACCAAACGTAACTAAATTGCGCCCAAGCAAACGAAAAATTCGCAAAGAGTAACCGCGCCACCTCTGTCGACGTGTGAAGCCGACAGCGCTTGTCAAACATTATCTGCAGCTTAGCAGCGAAGTGTCAAAATGGAACTTTAGTAATGCGAAAATTTGACACGGGAAACGCGCGCGACAGCAGCGTTGCGCCGCTGCCAACATACAGCAACAGGCAATGAATGATTGTGGCGTTAAGCTCTCTCACTCGCTGGCGAAATGTACAAACAATATTTTAACGTACGTATACTATATACATAAATAATTTCGTTACGAGAGCGTGGCGAGCGCACTATTAACAATAACAGTGCGGAGCTTTGCAAAGAGCGCCGCCGGTAAATAGAACCACAGCTAGACAGCTGTGATGGAATGAGCATGCATTTGCAAATAACAAGAAGAAGAGGGAAGAGAAGGTGACCGAAATATTTGCACATGAATAGCAATGAGGTGCGCAAAGAGCATCAGCGATCGTCATTAGTTAAATGGAGCGCTTAACGTAGTGTTACCGGACAGCGGTTATTTGCAAAATGAACAATTATTTTTCGTAGCGCAGTAACTGCTTCAATCTTGTTATTATAAAGTAATGAAAAAGTCGGCAAGAAGTAAAAACAGAGACAATTGAAAAACTTATGTAACCTCTGTAGTAAAAGCATTGTTCTCTATAAAAACATCTGGCCACCTTCAAACTCGTAATTGCTTATACTCAGTGCGCGTCATCATCAGCTCCACGCCAGTGTTGTTGGCGAACGCAAGTGGCGCGATTAATGCAAACGAGAGAATTGCAAAATTTGAGCAAATTGTTTACTAAGTTTGCGAATCGTGTAAGTATGCGCTCGTGAGCTGTAGAAGGCCATTCGGCTGCATGTACCGTCACCGCCGTCGCTTTGGCCTCGAAAGCAGTTCAGCTAATGGGGCGGTTTTACATATTAATACAATATATTTTACAAATTTCATTTCGCGCGAATTTTGCGGAAGATCGCGTAAAACCGAATGGGACTTTGCGGGGTAGGTTTTCGGGCTCTGATTACGTATGTTATGTACTATATGTATGTACATACAATATGTGCCATGTTAGAGAATAAATAATCTTCATATGGTAGCGAGGTAAATGTGGATGAGAAGGGAGCAGGTACATACATATGTATAATATACTTACATATATGATTCATTAATATTTAAATATCTATCGCTTTATATGAAATTCTGTGCTTCTAACGGCATAATAAGTACATATGACGATGTGCCAGAAGAGTAGAAACTTGATTTGCTTCATAATTGATTGGAGTTCTTTGATGTTATCTAAATTGTCAGCTATTTTTTACATTTGGTTCCAAGAAAATTTCGCAAAAACCTATTCTTGACGGTATACTTATTCGATTTGTTGCAAATGCTGTTCCAATGTAGAGATCACATTTTATAGACCATTAGACAAATTTAAAAATTGTCACTTTTTGAGACAAAGTCAATTTTTTTAAATCATTTTTTGTACATACAGACGGACGGACAGTCGGACATGACTAAATCGATCACGCTGATCGTGTGTATCCATATACTATATAAATATTGTACGGTTTCTGACGTTTCCTTTTGGGTGTTCCAAACATCTTGGCAAACTTAATATATCCTGTTCACTGTCTGATAACATGAGAGTAAAAGTAGGACATGAGCTATATTTTGTTCAGAATAATGTTTTCTTTTCATGTAACCATATTTGCTTATCTAATACTTGGTTCCGATATTTTGCTGGTACAAGCAACTACTTAGGGACCCAGTTGCATAGATACATATATACATATATGTATATACCTAATAGGTAAGTCCAAATTGAGCAAGAATTTAAGCTAGGCTATCACATACATTTCTTGGCCAGAATAGTATAAGCAAGCGCCTGTTACCTTTAAGCGCTAGAATATGCAAATCGGAAGCTGAATCAAATTTGGCCTTTTTCAATTTTGTGTGTCTGTGCGTTTACTGTAATTCTCTTTATGTATTGCTTCGTATTTAATTACTGCTGAATACAAAATTTGTGCCATACAATTGAGATCAGGTAATTAAATAAGGAACGTAAAAATCGTTTTATGATATTTTGGAATGACGCGATACCTTCACGATGTGCCAAAACATAGACACACAAGTGGACGCGAGTGTTTGCAAGCACGTTTCGTAAGTCTGCTTGCACATAAACCCCCCTAATGGCATGGCAATAAAGCAGATCACTGTGAATAGGATAGCAAAAACCGCCAGATGTGACAGCGATATTAATCGAATAACTCCTTTTACAGCAGCGAAAGCCTTGGCACACTCTACCCCCAGCGCCATGCGATACCGCACCCATGCGTGACCCACAAGCCCACATTGTAGGCTATGAACTGCTCACTTACATACCTGCGCTTTACTATTTTAGTCAGTAAGATTTGTATGCGCCACCAACAACAAAAACACAATGCAACTAAATACATTTGTTGAGCGTGAACCTCAGCGAACGCGCCCCAATGCACGAGTTACGACGTATACACATAATTAGACAAAAGTGATCGCTTACAAGGAGACATACATACATAAACAATTGTACGCACATGTGAACATACATAAATAGTATTATCAACGAGCGTGAGAACTTGCAGGGGGGCGCCGACTTTTTGCGCGCACTTTGTTGCCGCTGTTGCGCGTTCTTACACCTTAAATGGTGTCGCATTGCCGGCAAGAAAAATTGAGAAAAAACGCCGGCATTAAAAAATCACTCTGCAGTCTCACAAGCGCACACACATACAAACACACAAGCTCATAGTGAGGCCTTCCCTTTTGCGCGCTCAACACGTTGCAGCGCGGAATCTCATGACCTAATCTACTAATAAACGCCGCTAAATCGTAAAATCAGCGGCTTGTAATAAGCGCCACGCCACGCACACATGCACTCAACAAAACTTAGCCTCTACTTACTATCAATGTCGCCTGAAACGTTGTGCGCCCTCCCCACCGCCGTTGTCGCCACTGGCACCGAACCAGCTCGCTTGTACGTTGACTTTGAGTACTTTGACACCTGACTGCGTCGCGGCAGTCCCCCTTGCACGCGCCTCGTTTGCTGTGCTGCGAAATTAGCGCGCACATACACACAAGCGTGAGCAAAAAGCAAAACAAACAAAACAAAAATTAAAAAAAATCACTAAAACGCATTTAAATCGAACTATTGCGCAATGTCAGTAAGTGCCAAAGCAGCTTAGATCAGAAGTGAACCTTGTAGTACCAGTTTGGTCCACGAGTTGCGCGCTCCTAGGTATCGTACATAGTTTAAATGCTGTCGGCCGCTACTAATCGGTGTACTACGTGTGTATTTGAGTACTAATGCTTTAATGGGCATGCCTTCATACATACGTACATATGTATGTGTATGATGCATTCCCAAGTGTATATGTGTTTTTAGGTATGTATGCCTATATACTTGTAACTTTTTTCTGGTACAAGTATTGGTCTTTAACTTTAGACGGGTTTTTGGTTTTTTCGGATTAATTAAGCGATTCAAAAGAATTATAGCTGTGGTGCCGGCTATTTTAAGTTCAATTTGCCTCATAATCTTCGAGCACAATTTAATCAAATCCAAGCTTAACTTCATGATATAATGATTTACAAAAAATCTAATTGGAAATAAATACGTCAAACACCACATAAATGTCTGTGCCAGGAATTTTTTCTTCTAAAAAATAAACAAAGAAAATATACTTACAAACTTTTTTTTAACATTGTCAATCAGTTGTATTTTGTCGGAAATCTATTGTAGAAGGTGCGTTCCAAAGTAAACAGGACTTAAAAAAAAACAGAACAAATGATTTTATCGGCAAAATCAATTTATTTTATTCAAAATAGTCTCCTTCTGCTTTAATACAGCTTTTTGCGTGGTCCGAAAGCATGTCGAACGAGTGTTTTTGCTCGTTGCCCGGTATGGCCGCCAGTATGCCGGTACAAGCCTTTTTAATGGCCTCCACGTCTGCATAACGCTTTCCTTTCATCGGCAAATGCATTTTTCCGAAAAGGTAGAAGTCGCACGGTGCCATATCAGGTGAATACGGGGAGTGGTTGATTGTTAAAATGTGATTTTAGGTCAAATAATCGGCCACAAGCGTCGATCGATGAGACGGCGCATTATCGTGCAACAAACGCCAATTTCCATCTTCGCGATATTCGGGCCGAACACGTCGAATACGGCGCACCAAACGCTTCGAAACTCCAAGGAGGAAAGAATACCGCATTAACGTTTTGGCCGGGTGGAAAAAATTTTTTGTGGACAATACCCTTGGAATCATAAAAAAAAATCAGCATTGTCTTCACTTTTGACTTCTCCAGGCGCGATGTTTTGGGTTCCGGCTCATAGTCATTGATGACCACTCGTGCACTCTGCTACGGGATAGGCAATCATCGCTATAAACTTTTTTCATCAATTGAAACGTTTCGGTAAAAGTTTTACCAATTTTAAAACAAAATTTAATGTTGGCTCTTCGTTCGAAGCTCATTTTCGCACCGATGACAAAAACATACTGACACTTAAAACGCAATAACTTCACTTCCAATAGAT